GTCCGGTGCCGAAGGTAGTAGGGCGGGTGGCGTGCGAAGCCACCATCGCGCTTAAGGTGCCGAGAAGATTGGGCGATGATGGGCGATTGTGCAAGGCCTGACTAGGCGGCGGGCTGCTGACCGGCGCCGACGTGCCCATGCTGGAAGGGCTCCAGGCGACGTGAGATGCGCTAGCAAAAGTGGGCTCGCTGGATGGCTCGAGATGGAGCGCGGGGGCGGTGGTCTGGTGGTCGCTGGCCGCTGTGGTTCTTGGAGCCGAGCGCATGGGTACTGGGGACGGCACCGGAGCCGTAGGACATCGCTCGGGTACGAGACGAGGCGGCGAGGTAGGTGTGTGCTGAGCAGGCTGGGAGGGCGCTGGAGGCGTAGCCATCACCACAGGCTGCGAACGGATTCGAATGAGATTGAACGTCGGCGCTGACGGGAGGCCGAGTGCCACGGCGGATGCTCGCGCTCCCTGTGCTGCGACCTCCTCCTTGTCGACTGCGTGACGTTTCTTCTGGCGCCGCGCCTCCGCGTTAGTCGCCGCACTCTTCTTCCTTGTGATGCGCATACTTGCACGTACGCGCGCGTCTGGTGAACCGGCTGCTGGCCATTGCGGAACCTGTCGATGACAGTCCTGGCACCGCAATCGATGCTGGCTGAGCCGAGGATGGCGGGAGACCTGGCCCAGAGTCGCCGCTAGGGTCGGAAGCAGCTCGGTGGACTGAGAAGTCGGAGCGGCTATCGGCGGCGTCGGCCCGGGCTGGGAAAAAGGTGTTTCCGTGGAGGTGTAGTTGGCCTGGACAGCGCTCGTGGGGGACGGAGGCGGCGGCATCGTCACGGGCAGAGAGGTAGATTCTTGGACGCTTAACCCCTCCAATCCCGAATCTGAGAGCACGAAACGCCTTATTCAGGGTACTACAAAGTCGTATCTTACGACTTTCCGTTTCACTTCGAATTTATATAGTGTGCATAGTAAGACCATGGAACAGTCTATAAAGTCTCAGCAGGTTTTTCCAGCAATGTCGTAAATGTTACTACTTTTCACTTTCGATCAGCTACTGCATGTCGTAAGTGACCACGTGTCATAAGAAGCTCAGTACAAAAAGAGCTCAATGTGTCAAGATTATGAGCATAAGAGGTGCAGTGGTTCAGTAAAATGTGCATTACGATCGTTTCCTGGTGAACACTCATCAAAGATTGCACTCAACAGATCATCCAGCTATTAATACAGCGTTTCATTTTCGTTCTCTCCTTTCTCATCATCAGCATTTCCGTCCTGCAGCTGGAGCTCACGACAAGTCTTCTTTCTCTCGCCAGCTTTCTGGCCCGGACGACGCAGGACTACTCGCATTCCCAACGTAGGTGGAATCGCTTGCCCACAATCAAACTCGTCGTGCCAAATGGCAAAACAGGTTTTCGCTACCCCCTTGTACTCACGGCGTATTTTGTTGCACAACCAGCACTTAGCATCATCCACAGAACACCGCTCACAGAAGAACGTCGTCGCAAACGATTTCTTCTTTCGGTCCGTTCGTAAGAGTGCGCACACCTTACAAGACCGCTGACGACGCTTCCGAACGCCACTAACAGTCACCCAATCGTCAGCTTGCTCGGGCGCGTGGGTTATACGGAGGGGTGTCCGCTTGCGTTTGGTATTTGGAGGCGGGGTTGGAATCACTCCAGCAAAATCTTCAGCCCTGAGCTGCAAAAGCTGGTTCTCAAGGATGCCATACCACATGCCACAAGGCATCACCGCCGTTCTGTTGATTCTTGCCGTCTGTCGGTGTGAAATATAGGCATTCACAAGTGCCAGGTCAACAAATCCCAAAACCAAGCTCTTGTAGTATTTCCGGAACCTCGTAGAAGTCTGCAGGGAGTATTTCTGGAGGCGGAGTTGGTCATGAACGTCAACTCCGCCCATCCAGCGTTGATAGTCCTTCACTGCTGCCGGACACGAGACGGTCACTTCGCCAACACGCTTGATCTTTCTTTTCACACTCTCCTTTGCCATCGAAGAGCCCGTGCAAAGATAATGAACTGGTTTCTTATCCCACCACTTGAACGCAATCATACTGGGCACGGCCACAGAGCGCGAAAACGTGAATTCTCCATGGAAAATCGTCGCGGGACGTGTCTTGCGTACATCTTTGAGTTTTTGGTCGAAGCCGAGCCGGTTGGTCATAATCGTGCCGATAACATACACGTTCATTGCGAGGAGCTCAATTGCCAGCAAAATCGAGGAGTAGAATCTGTCAACCACTACTGTGTGCCACGGTTGCCGAGCGTCTGAACCCTGAAGCAAAATTTGCAGGTTGCGAACGACTGCTCCAGCACCGGCGTTGTGGTCAAATGAAGCTTTCTCAGAGTCGCTAGCATCACGCTTGCCCACGTACATTTAAAATCTGGTAAGTTACGACATACAAGTCAGTGACAAATATATCGGCATAAGTTATGACGTAAAATATATTACCTGTGACAATACGCGCTTCTTGAGTCACACACCATATACATTTTAGATCCGTAGCGGTGGGGCTTGTCCGGCATGTACATACGGGTTGTATTCCGCTTCGACGTTGAGGGAAGAACGCCTTCATCAAACGAAAAAACGGACGGGAGGGTCCATCCTGAGAGAAAGCGCTGCTGCAGCTTGTCAACAACTGGACGGAGTTTCCAGAGTTTATCACGCGTAGGCTCCGATTCGTTATCCACGAAATGTAAGTCTCGCAATATATCTTGGCATCTATTTCTTCCCATGAATCGTCCAAAGGTTTCTGCTGGTACAGCACCGTCTTCTACCATAGACCAATGCGCAGCGAAACGTCGCTTCTGGGGGCACAACATCCGTGCGATAAGCAACACAATGACGTGCAGGATCTCATGAGTCTCGTATCCTGACGCTGCTTTCAAGCGTCGGCGAATCTGCGTCAGCGTCTGCTCCTTTTTTCGGCGGCCTTCGAACTTCTCCAGAATGGCTTGAGCACGTCGATCGACTTGCTGGAGACTGTACCGGTTCGTTTCCGCGCTGATAGTTACCCATAACGACTTCGGTAGGAAGTAGAAAAACGTACGGAGCGGTGAATTGGAGAGAGCCCGCAACTCTGGTACGGGCGACGCTTCTTCCAACTCCATCCCTGGATATGAGGCAACACTATCCTCAAACTGCGATGACTCAGGGGTCCACTGCATGGACCGTTGAGCGCTCTCACGCTGCTTTGTGGCTTCTTTGTCGAGAGCGCTATCTCCCACTTGCAATGATGCGACAAAGGCCTCGTCCATGTCTGCAGCATCGTCATCAGACAGGACTTCATCATCAACTTCCTGCCCATCGCGAACGGAGCCTTCGCCGTCTTCATCGTCCTCATCAAAATCTCTGTTGTCGCTTTCACCTGAACTGAGGCTTTCATACGCACCCATGTCCTCGTCTGGGGGGACGAAGTTGATGTCCCACTTGGTGGGAGCACGCGGACGAAGAACTGGTCCCAGTGGCCGGGCTGGAGCAATGTCTTCTTCAGGCTCAGTATCGGCACCAGACGCCTCTGACAGCAGCTGTAAACTGACCGCCGCTTCGCGATGGGAATCACTTGGTGATAAACCAAACACATGCGCAACAGCTTGCTGTGATAACTCGACTTCAGACTCGCTGGATGATCCGAACAGCTCGTTCAGAGTATGCTGTGACAGTTGGGCAGTCGTGTCAATCTGCGAAACACGCACGTTGTCTTCAAAAGCAACGTCCGCTTTCCCCTCGCTATCTTCCACGC